TCAAAAATCTTATTTTTTCAAAGTAATTTTTTTTCAAAAATGTTAATCGTTTTAAAAAAAAATAATAATTTTTGGTACGGGAAGTTCCAGCAATTTGCCTTAAGGCACGATGCCCTAATTGCCTTAAGACAGAATTCCACTTACAGCTAGTTTACTTTCGTTTTATTCAATTAATATAATTAGTATCATATTTATGCATACAATCAAATATATGTAAATTTTTTAGTTACTTTTTATGACTCTCCTTAATTAAGGTTCTGTATCAAAGCACTCAATATTGGATTGTTTCTCTATTCAACATTAAATATCAACATACATAAAATATCTAACGAAGTAGTGGTATCATCTGAATTTAAAAATTCTTGAAAAATAAATAGTGACAGATATGATGATAATTCTAAAATATCTATGATAATAATTCAAAAAAAAACTAAACTCTATAACGAACTCTATATGGCGATCAAGATTTATTTTGCTATACGGTAAATGGAATATGTTATTTCAAAGTGTATTTATTTTAGTGTCAGAGCTTGAGGTATGCCTAAAATGGCATGAAATTGAAATATTTTTACATTTTAACAAGCTAAATCATGATAGTGTAACAATCTAATAATTTGAACCTTAATTATTGGTTTTAAATTTTTAATTTCTGACATAAATCTCTCTTAAGTAAAAAATCAATTAATTTCGGAAATATAGTAGTGTCTTGCAAGTGAAATAACAGTTCAATAAAACTAGCGTAAACCTTTTGCTACTAAAATGTTTTCCGCAAGAGTGTCTAAAATAAACTAAAATACTGCTGTACGAGCCAGCAAGTTGTCTGAGCATTTCTTACACAACATATTTTAAGATTTTACAATTATTACAATCAATAAAAATTATATTACACTTTTAAAGACCTAAATATTACAATAAAAAACTTGAATTTTAAATAATTAACTCGCTGTGATAAATCTTGAAGCGAAAGTCAACAACTGGATGCGAGTGTCGTCTATAGGCGACATTCGTATCTACCTATCTTCAAGCAGGTATCGCCTATAGTGGACGCTTGTAGCGAAAGGGTTAATGAAACATATATTTAGATATATATTTAAAGCAGCTAATGAAACTAAAAAATAAAACAAATAATTCTATTGTAGTAAACGTAAATATCAAAATAAAAAGAAAGTGGTATAATAATATGAAAGAATAATATAGTTACTTTGTAGTCTTCTTCAGTTATAATTAGTTTTCTGTTAATTAACTTCCCGTGGGCTAAGTAATAGAAATCGCAAAAAATCAAAAATAAAAATTTTGCAGATCTTTAAGTTTCATAGTCTTTTTGGCATACGTTAGAAAAAAATGGATCTATGTGTGTGTGTATATTTTTGGATATATTTTTCGTCCACGATTTCGAGAGCACGGTTCAAACGATTTGTATCATTCAAAAATCGTTCGATTGCTAAGTAGCTTTTGGCAAAGGCAATTCAAGCCTTTTTGTAGATACGGGGCAAAAAGTGTACAAATAGCAGTTTTTGAGAAAACAGAGTATCTGATTGGAGTGATGTAAAAAAACATTCGATTCGTATTGACGGGGAGGCGTGCTGATTGCTTTTTTGCAAAGGCAGGTTCAGTCGTTTCAAAGGTACGGAGCAAAAGATGCAAAGAATATCAGTTTTTGAAAGAATATAGCATACTGCTTCTGTTGATGATACAGCAAAAGGCAGGTTTAGCGTTTTCAAAGTCTTGAAAAAAAAATTCATATAACTCAAAATTTCTATTTTTTAATTTTCGAATTTTTTTAGAACTTTCTTAATCTAAAGTTTAAAAAAATCTTAACTTTACATTCAGTTTCGAAATGTTCATACGATAAAAATAATAATTATGGTAAAGAAGCATTCCGAGGATATATAGTATGCATTTTTATTAGGTTTTACTTATCTTCGTTTTTTTGTAAAAATATATACAGATCGTCGCCCAAATATAAGCACTTATATTATATTAGATCTATAAAATACGAACGATGAAATTTAGAATGTTTATAATAATTATTTCAAAATAGTTAAAACGATTATTATTGATCATTGATCAATTTTTGTTGATAATTTATTATTTTTAATACTCGAACGTTCAATTAAGGTATGGAAAGTTCCAGCAATAGGCTTCAGATACAATGCCATACACCACTAGTTTTATGTGTCATATGTAATCATATTTTTATCGATAAATGAAATATTTATAAAATTATAAATAATTTTCACATTTTAATTTTGTATGGCGACGTGACTTATTATTTTATTAAGCTGACGTTATTTTATATCGTATAAAATTATCTAAAAGTATTGCGTTCAAAAATTTAAAAATCAGACTGGTATTATCTGAATTAGAATTTATTCTCTTAATTTGGCGTTCGATTCCCGCTTTTCCATTATTAATTAACTCGGCGTTTGTGATTTGCTTTGCTTTGCTATATATTTTGAGTTAAAATTAGGTAAGGTATAATGCGGTTTGTATGAAAATCAATAAGCCAACTTAAAATCGAGTATGGGTACATAATGTTCACCGCACATGGAACATTCAATTTAGGTATCAAAGCTCAATTATCAATAACTGTAAGAGGCTTATGCAGCAGCCAAATAGATTAGATGAGTTGTATTTGAAATAGAATTTGATGCTATGTTATTATATTAAGGTTCGGTACATATAATGTCGGTCTATCACATAGCACTATTGCGAAAAACACCTTTTTACGGAAAATATTATAAAGGAAGCATATCGTAGCTCGAAACAAGAATACAAAAGTATTCCGGATAAAGAATTTTATTTCTGTATGACATTTTTTATTGCTTTCGATTTTTTGCTGCAAGTTCTATTCTTCGCACGTGCAAACTTGCATACGCATATACACACACTATATATACAAATATACATTTAAATATACTTTTTTGCCAGCTGCATCATGTTATCATTTGTTTATTGTATTCATTTTGTAGCTTCCTAATTATTGTTTCTTTCTTCTTAATTATTGTTCAGACGTTTCGAAGGCCAGTTTCATTTATCATCAGCGAGAATCAATAAATAAAAACAGATTGTGAAAATAAATTTATGTACAAATATAGAAATAAATAACTTAATACAACAATAATTATACAAATTTATTTTTATTTATTTCTACCGCCGATTCTAATTATCCATAAGATTTTCATACTATTTTAATTGATAAATTAAAGTTAATTAAACATTTCATGAGTTACACATTTCAGAAAAGGTCGACTTGAACAAAATGCAAAACTAATTTAAATTGAAGCCTTATTTGAAGCTTATTGAGTATTATACGAGTATTATAGTTTTTCTCTACCTGCGAGAGAATCGAGAATTCTATCTTTCATTTTAATTAGTTTTCACATTCTATTCAATGTGCAGAATTCCCAGTATTATAGAAATGGGTAGATAGATTGGATTCTACATATATCAATGACACACGTATATATATATATATATATATATATATATATATATATATAATAAAAAAAATTACAGCGGTACTTTGTGATTCTAATTCTATGGATCTTTTTTGAAACTTTGCCGAAGAAATTTTTAGTGAAACTGAATTCACTTTCACTAAAAATTTCTTGGCTAAAGTTTCTTGAAAAAACTTTTTTCGTGTCCTTTATACTATCAAGTGTTAAATTTAATCAACGAGCACTTTGCATAACTTGGAGCTTCCTAAAAGCTTATATGTAGTAGTGTTTAACAAACAAAACAGTATACCATATAATTGTTTTTAAGTTATGCACACTTTTCTATATCAATTTAATTCATAATTTATTTTCATTTAAATACTACGCTTATTTATTAGACTGAAAGACAGATCATTTTCATGAAGCGGATTTTATACAATTACCTGTTTTTGTCCATTAATAAGTCATTAATATTATAAAGCATATCATTATATAGAAACCGTCAAATTAAAAAAACACATAAATGTCAAAATAACATTAACGTTCAATGAGGACTGAAACATTTGTGTAAACTTTTAAAGTGAAATGAAATTTTGTTGTATTTAAAATTCTAATTCGTAATCTAAATCGTTTAACAGCTTAAATTAAAGAAAATGAAGCTGTAAATGGCAACAAACATCAAACAATTTTGAATAAAAAAATATCAACATGGGGTTTTGTAAAGCTATGGTATACATTAACTAGCCCCGTAATCATAAAGTACTAGGTTCAACCTGCCTATCTGACAACCGGATCAATCATTAGCATTAATCTTCAATTGAAAATATATTTCCAAGAGAAAATTACCCTTTTCTGCATTAACACATTAAGTTAAAATTAATATACAATCAATATTGGATATCATTCCTATATAGAATTTATCAAATAAAGATTAATAAAGAACATCCAAAAAGTCACATTAGTGAAGAAGTATCATCACCCTTGAAGTATCACCATAGCTCATAGGTCTCTTAATTTCTTATTTTTATTCAAAAACTGAAAGATCTTAACAGAATCTTCAAAAATTTTAGTAACAAATTAGTTTGGTTAGGTTATATAATACCTGTAAAGCGACATAAGAGAAGAATAAAGTAAAATAGTAATCTTGTACATCATCTACTTCCCGTAGGGTAAGTTACAGTAATCGCAAAAAATCAAAGATAAGCAATTTGATATATCTTTACGTTTCAAGTTTTCTGAACATTTTGGGATTTATTAGAAAAAATTATGTGTGTGTAAAATGTATTTTTGTCGACGATTTCGAGAACACGGATCAACCGATTTGAATGATTCAAAACACATTCGATTCCTATTGACAGAAAGACGTGGTAATTAGTTTTTAGCTGAGGCAGGTGTAGCCGTTTCGCAGATACGGGGGGATAATTCTGTTTGCATTTCTATGGGTTCCACACCAAGATTTCTAATGTTTAACCGTTAGACTACGGCGCCGCGCTTAAATTACCACAAAGTATAATTTTCTAAAATGCTGAATGCTGATTTTTTTTCTTTTTTCTATTACAGGCTACCAATTCAAGATGCGAAATGGCGGCCGAAGCAAACAATCCGAATTGTAATATATTTCCGAGCACGATCAGCATTAGTACGGGCGCCGGAGCGTCGGCGGCGAATTCGGCGTGTGCGGACGGCTGTGCGACGGTTACTCCGCCAGCCGAAACGGGCAACATGTTGCCCAAGCAGAATAAGATGGCATCGTTCCTCTTCGGACCAACTGTTCTGCGAAAACTGTTGCCGGCAGCACTTTGTCTTATAACTTTTGCTACCGTTATGACAATACTACTCGTCTACATGGACACAACAGGTAATTATTAACCCTTGGCATGCGGGCATAGTTCGCCGCCGAATTACGCGTGCAGCGGGCGATCCTTGAAAAAATATGGGCTGCATAAACTTGAAAATTGCAAATACATCCTGTGTCGCTTTCAGATAATATTTTCAGATAGTTTCAGATAATATATATAGCACGAGTATGCCGTATTTTATAATTTTTCCAGCATTTTAGACTCTAAAACACAATCGTCCTCTCCAAGGAATTAAGCCATCATCTAATGATACTTGCTATTTCGGCTTGTAAATATTATTGAAGTTTTCAACAAAATAATTTAGTATAGGCCTAACTTTGAATAAGCGATCCGAATCGTCTGTGACGTCTTCATTGTTATTGAAATGCCAAGCATTCCATATTTGGCGGAATCTATTCCTTGGCATGGTTTTTGAAAAAAAAACGGTGTACTTGTGCAGGGATGAGTTGACCAATAATAGTCTTAGATCTACTCGTTTAGAACTACTCGAAATTCTTCTTCGGACGAACTCTCGAGAACGTGGAATAATATCATCATCGTCACTTTCTTCGATATCTTGACGAAAAGTCCGATAATCTGTCAGCGCATATTTCTTCATCACTATCTTTGTCACAACGGCTCAATTTATCAATTTGTAATCATTTATACGTATTTAGTAGATTTGTAGTGGTTAGCGAGTATCCACCACAAATCTACTAAATACGTATTGTACGTGACACGCGCTCCAGTGACAGACAGCAAAAAACGTAAAATTATGTTGCCCGCACTCTAAGTGTTAAAACACCACGAAGGCTTAACACAAGACAAAATAGATATTATATTTGTGATTTTTTTTATCGATTATTACAAATGCAAATTACAAGTTTTTCATAAATTTCACTCGGTTTTGTGCTTTAATGCACATATAATTTCTTTATAGAAATGAATGTTTTCATAGCGATTGAGCCTAAGATAAAAATTATTTTGCGAATAAAAATACTATCAAGGAGAACCTCAGGTTTACTCTTCTGGAATTTTGATGAAACTTTCCATGGTGAAAATTTATAGTCAAACCAAACACCTCAAAATAGTATAAGTCTATGAGAAGCGATTTGTCTATAAAAACTAATCAAAGTTGCGAAAAATAGACCACATGCAATACGTACGGGTATAGTGTTTCTTAGCAATATGTCAATTATGTAGCTGTGCTGGTTAAAGCTAATACTTTTTGCATTCTGATTCATAGATAAGTAACTTTAATTAATTATTATAGATAAAACACTTCTCATAGGCCTTTAATATTTTAAGGTATTTGGTTTGACTATAAATTCTATCACCAATCATCAGAAAAAACCTGATGTTTTTCTTGTAAGTTTTTGCTTTCTTTCCATAGATATTGATTAGTCAGATAGTTTAATTGAATTCATACGTTTTATTAATATTTGAAGTAGTCTGCCGAGCGCTTGCTCCTGTTCTATTATATTCAGATTTATATGTTTTTATTTTTGACTTTGTTAAATATAACTAAAATTTCAAAGACTAGTCGTATTTACTAAAATTTGTAACGAAAGAAACTCCCAAAAATGTATCATTTAAAAAAAGTAATAACAAAATTGTTTTATACCAATCGTCAGTTTTAAATTAGCCATCAATAATATATCATTAATCACCAATACTACCCTCTTTTATCTCTATTGAACCCAATCTTAAACTATTGAATGTTTTTCTTTATACCGGTCTAGTATAGAAATAAACTAGTATATACGATTATAAAGCTAAAAACACAGTTTGCGATTGAGTGTATCATTTATTAAAAGAGTTCGGTAGATTAATTAACAATGATTTTCAAATTTTCCCATTACAAAAGAGCAAACTAGCAACTTTCAATAGCAAAAAAGGATGATCTATAATCTCAAATGTTTGTGTCGTCAATAATAAATTCAAAAGTAAAATATGTATATTTTTTAGAGCTTTGTTAAATTAATTTATAAAGTCAACAAAAATATATAATAAATAAATAAGTTTAACAAAGACTAGGAACGTATATATTAACGAGGAAACATACATAAGATATGAGCATATATATACATAGACTCCTATGTGATTAATTCATAATTAATGACCTAACTAATTAATAGTCTTGAATAGTACTTCAGCTCATAGAATTGCCTTCGCGTAGATTACTTCTTATTGATATAAAAAACAGTTATGTGAAAAAAACGTGCATGTAAACTCGAATGTACGGTGGCATGATTTTCATAATTAGTAACAATGAAATTAAAACTTGGTATAATTTTGAAGCTATTAAAATATCCATACCGAAAATAATTTCTTCAATCAAGACAATGACTTGTACAAAGACAAAAATTTTGGATTCTAAGTTAACAATAAAAGGAAGTCAGAAAATATCTTTGGACTACATACGGTTTTCAAAATCTTCGGACGCATCATCGACTGTTTAAGCGAAATAGGCCGGTGTACATAGTCTTTATTAATAAAAATATTCCCATTCAACTGTAGTTAACAAAACGTTCGTTTCTATGCATTTAATTTTATGTAGAGTGTAAAATGACACATATCTTTTTCCACAGCGCTTAGCCATCAGCAATTCCGTATAAACATGACTCAAGATTACGATATGCTGAACGTTGCCCAAGATAATCCCTTGCTGATTGCGTACATTCGGCAGCTCCACATGAGTGGTGGTTCCAATGCTCCACATCTGGGCGTCTCCTCCGACTGGACCGTACGGAATGAAAATTCCTCCGGTACAAACGACACGGATCCATCATCAGCCGATGATACCCACAAATCAGAAGGGAAAAGTTCACAGGACAGAATACTTTATTTAGTCAGTCTTCTGAACAATAAGGTAATTAAGAGAGGTCAATGTATTAAACATATACTAATTGGTTTCATTGAAAACTCTTAAGTGCTTTAGAAAATACGAGAAAGAAAGCCATCAATTGATAAATAATCAATCCTTAATTGGTATCCAATTAATAAATAATCTTTTCCAATAACTTAAAAAAAATATTTCGAAGAGTATCAATATATACATATATACAGCGCCGGTCCTGCCTTGCATTCGATGCATGCAAAAAATGCGCACGCCTTAGAGGGCGCCAAAAGGTGTTTCGGAAATTAAATTTATAATATATTATTATTTATATAAAATTTAGAATACTTAATAAATTATAATAAACAATCTAATATAACTAGGGATATGAAGACACAAAAAGCATATCGATGCTTTTCTGACGCAACCTCGTAACTCGATTTTTGACGATTTTGAGTTTTAATCGGAAAATCAATCACTAAATATAGACGCATAGATCTGTGAAGTTTTGTAAAAAAAAAATCAACCGAACGATTTTTATTGAGAAAAATACAATCACGTATCTCAATTCAGAAAAATGTGCCATGCGCAACCTCGTATCTCAGAATACATGGTGGCGTATATAAACAAGTTTCGCTGTCAGCAATGTTGTTTAGTTCAATCTTTCTAATAAAAATTATTATTCAATTAAGTTAATTGTTATTTAAACTTAATGAACGATAGTTAATAAATACATTTATTATTTACTTACCGCAAGTTATAGTAATTTTCCGAAAATTGAAAATGAAACTTTTTGCATATTTAACGTTTCAGAGGTTTCTGAATATCTTGACATACCTTAATAAAATGGATGTATGTGTTTGTGTGCGTGTGTGTGTGTGGATATAATTTTTTGTCCACGTTTTCGGGAGCACAGATCAACCGATTTGAAACCTTCAAAAAACAATCGTTTCCTATTGAGAAAACAGAGCATCCGATTTGAATTATTTAAAAACATTCAATTTGTATTGATGACGTGGTGATTAGTTTCTGGAAAAGACAGGCCCAGTCGTTTCAAAGCTTCCGATCCGAGTGATTCAATGAACATTTTGCAGTATAAAGAATCGATTAGTTTAGGAAAGCAGAATTTTTTTGTCCATTTTTTTAAATTTACAATTATTTCTTTGTTTAAATATGAAAAATGATTCGGATTTTAATTTTAATTCTAGCTAAAATTCTAAAACTCTCTTATATACTTCAAATAAATAAATTTAAATTTGCAAATTAGTTTATATAATTCTTAGAAATATATATGAGATATGTTTTTTTTTACTTTTATTTACTTTTTATGTAAACATATATAAACGTCGTTGTCCAGTTTATTCTTATATTTTGTCATTCAAATACAAATAACAAAAGTTATAGTACGTACAATAATATATTTGTAATCATTTATTATTCCTCGATTCTATTTAATTACGGAACGGAAAGTTCCACCAATTTGCTTAAAGGCACGATGCCATGCACCACTAGTTATATTTTTATTATGTTGAGAACAAATATCACAGTAAGCTACAAAAATTAAACAATTATCAATTCTTACTGACAATAAATGAAATTAAATTTTGTATTTTTTAGAGTTAGATAATGTGTCATCCGCAGATAAAAAATCATTAAATAAAGAAATAATAACAAAAAAGAATAAAAGTAACAATAAAAATGATAATCACAAAGTAGTAAATTATAAATCCATGAAAGAGCTAAATATCCTAGATATTGAAATACCTAAACTATGGCCAGATACTATATTGTCGTAATTATAAACTAACATATACCACAAGTTTAATAATGTTTGTTTTTTTTATTAAGAATTATTTAAAAAGTTGATCGATTCTCAAAATAAAACAATTGAAGAAAGTTATTCATGTACTCTTATTTGAAAACAGCATGACGCAACCACGTATGTTACATTTTTTTCCGTGCGACAAACACGTATCTCAAAGAATTGAAGAAAAAATAATGATTAATTGTTTGTAATATCATACTTGTCTCAAATAATTGTCACAAGATTGAATGTTTTTAAAAATTATAAAAAAAATTGTTAACAGCAGTTCAAAAATTCGTTATAAAACGTTTTTTGTCTCTCCTGAAAAGTAGTAGTTTCTGAGATACGAGGTTGCGTCAGAAAAGCATCGATATGTATTTTGCAATGCGATATCAGTAGAAACAATTAACCGATTAATAACTCTGCAAATTAGTAAATAACAGCTCTGTTTATTGATTATTCTACTTATTCTATTTTTTCTTTATTTGAAATTATCTAGTGTTCCATCCCATAAGCGCAAAATTAAATGTGCGCTGCGAAAGATTAAATTATTTATTGGGCATTATTGACGAAAAATTGCAAGCTGATTTAGTTGAAACGGAACTTGTTAAAAAATATAAACAAATTATAATAAGGAAAATGAAAAATGGGGAGTCAGTGCTTAGAAAATGGCATGTTTATTCCGAGAAATTGAATTGTAACTTTTGTTTTTGTTGCAAATGTTTCGTATCTGATGAACTGAATTGAATGTTGAAGACATGCGTGGTTAGGGTTATGGAAATGGAACAAATATGAAAAATGGAAGCAAAATTTACTTTGGAACGAAAATCTTAAGGCTCTTTTATATTGAGTGGTGTTCATACTCCAAATTTAATAATTTAATTATGCGAAATAATACATACCAAATATTATTAGTTATTTTTAGTTATTTTTTCAATATAGTTCAAGAAATGTGAAATTTCTTTGCATTTTTACTGATTTTTGGACAATACTTAGAAAATACGTTAAAAATTTAATTTTATAACAACAGACTGATATGACGGGAAAGCAAGGATGAATACGATTCGGCTCTTACGATATCAATAAGGAGAAGTTTACGACGCAATGTTGGATATTGTAAATAATGAAAAATTAAATTAAATTAAAATTTAAAAAATCCAACATGAAATACGAGTGTTATGAGTTCTAGTTACCCTCTTAGCATGATTTGCTCAATAGAATAAATGGCATAATAACTAAGTAAAATGTTTTAAAACCCAAATATTAATAATGCACATACGTTAAAAATAATTTAAAATTTATAAATATTTGATTATAATGAACCAGCGAATTGCCTCGATTTCCTAAATAAATTTAAAATGAATGTATTTTATACGCTTTTAGATTATATCTAATTGATTGCGTACTAAATCCAAAATAATTGAAAATTAATTTTTAAAAAATATGTAAATATTTATATAATTTAAATTATAAACAATTAAAACAGGTAAAATTAGTGGGGGGGCGCCAAAAAAAGTTGCATGCGGGCGCTAATATATAAGTACGGCTTTTCGACTAACCTTCGTTCAGTGTAAAAACACTGAAAATTATTTAAGCTAAATAAATGTATAATAATGCTCGGAAGTTAAAAAATAACTAGGAAAAAGTACTTGCAATTTATTATCTTAGTATTATAAATAAATAAAACTAACTCTAATAATCGGTGATATAAGAACACTGTCGTGTATAGTAGTAATAACAACGGAGAGGTCAAAATTGGTTTGCCAAATTTCCTTTTGGTGATTTTTCACTCAAAGATGAAAAATGCTCAGGTCGACCAGTTGCAGTTGATTAAAAAGAAATTGTCTATTTTTAATCTTATAACCCAACCGAGCGATCAATTCTGATGTCTATAGATTGAACAACTAATGAAATTTAACAACGCAGTTGAAGAAAAATGGCCTGAATTGACAAATCGAAGCGATGATTTCTTTCATAATTGACATCGCATCGGTAGTATTTTTGGACCCTTCTTATATGTTTTATACACAAAGGACCTCCCATTACTTGAAAATCTGACAATTGCTACATTCGCTGACGATATTGCCATACTAAGTTACTGCTATATAAATCGATTATTAAACCAATCTGGACCTACGGAATTGAGCTCTGGGGATGTGCTTACAAATCTAATGTAGCTATAATGCAGAGAACTCAATCAAAAATTTTACGTACAATTCTTAATTCTCCGTGGTACGTGACAAATGAAACCATTCACAGCGACCTCAACATGAAAACGGTGCAATTAACGTTTAAAGAAGTTAAGGAAAAATATAAGCACAAACTGAACTCACATTTGAACCCTTCTATAGTTGACATTACTCAACCTTTTGGCATTAGGAGGTTGAAACGACAATGGCCCTTAGACTTAGTCTTAGATTAGGTCTAATATATCATATTAATTGTAAAACTGAGAAGTTCTCATTGGAGTTCTTCTTAGGCATCACTCATAAATATTGTCATTTTAGCTCATAGGAATCTTTATGTATTTCTGATTGCTAAATTAAACTGATTTAAAAAAAAAAATAATAATAATAATTGACATCGCATCTATTTGAGCATTCGGTAAAAATTATTGAAGCTTGGTTGGGATGTTTTGCCGCATCCACCATATAGTATTGACCTTGCACTTTTGATAACCCTTTGTTTCAATTTCCAAAACTCTTTAAATGGCGAACAATTCAGAAATTATGATGATGTCAAATTGTACCCGATTTAGTTTTTTGCTAATAAAAACCAGAAGTTTTATGAAGGTGGGATAATGATGCTCCTTGAAAGATGACAAAAAATCATTGATCAAAATGGGCAATGCTTTGCAGAATAAAGTTATATAATTTCGAGAAAAAAATGTCTTTGATTTTCTAACAAAATTCCGCACTTAGTTGCTAACCCGACCTCGTATATATGATCAATTTATTTTCTTACTGATGTTTGTCGATGGTTTCTGATGCTTTAACGATTTTCTATTTAACATTTCTACCAACAGAAAGGCGGCGTTTTCGTTGAGTCTTTGAATCCAAATGTGCCTGGAGGATCTCAGTATTTATCGAGCGTTTTAGGATGGAGCGGTCTTATTGTAGAACCTGACCCCAGGAGATATTTCACTTTGAGAAAAAAATTATCGCATGGATCTAAAACTCGAGCCGTACATGCTTGCCTTAGTCCTACACCACATCCTCGAGAGGTAAGCTTGGAACGTATATTGGATCATGATAGTGATGAATTATTACTTGATTTGGGAGGAAATAAATCATTTAATAAAATTTTCTTCATAATATAATGATTGTGTTTGAATTGCAGGTCAGCATTCACAAAGAAGACTTCAATGATGGTGTTCAAATCCAAACAATAGATAATGAATCGGACTTGTTTAACTCTCGTGTTAAGTGTTTTCCTCTATTTTCATTGCTATTAGCAATTAATTGTACAAATATCGATGTATTGAGTATTAGCAGTGAAGGCTATGGACTTCAAATATTAACCACTATTCCCTTTGAAAAAGTACGAATTAGTATTATAGAGATTCATCTAGGGCATACTGAAGATTTGGATGCATCTCTAAACATAACCAAGTTCTTGGGGAGTAAGTCTTATAAGTTGATGAATACTTTCGATAGAATCTTCGTGTATATGATAAACAACCGAGTAAAAATATAATATGTATAAAAGTTATTTACATGATTTAAATTATTTAATTATTTGATAGTAATGCTGGATATTTCTTAATTCTGTCATTTTAAATTTATTTTGAAAGTAATTATAAATGCAAAGTAATTGCCATTAATTTTATTTATAGAATTATTTAGTAGTATATTTAGCTTAACACTAGATTTATAATTATAAAAACTAGAATAATGTACTAATTAATTACAATTGTGATAAAAACAGCACATAAAACTAATTTAAAATGTTTCTATAAAAATATGAAACCAAGTAAAAAGGTCGTGTGGTTTTAATATGGTGCTTCATAATTTTAGACCTAAGTTCTTTATTTTTATAAAAATCAAAATTCGAATATTGCTTACAACTTGTTTGAATTCAAATTAGAATTAAAATTTGAATATATTGATCGACATGTTTGCTGCTTAGATAACGGAGGTATAACTCAAACCACCTCTTTTAATAAAAAATAAAATACAAAAACGTTTATTTGTTCAATTATTTTAACTATTTTAATGTTTTTAACATACAGCAAAACGCAAGATAAAAGAAGCCACGAAATATCAAGGCTACCGACACAATTTTCTGTTTGAATGCTGAAGAATATGCTGATGAATATGGGTGGTTAAGTGAGTAATTAAGTTTTACAAATCGGCCACGTTGACCAAAATCTCGTGCTAGATAATAATCTGCTGACTATATTCGCATGTGTCTAAAAAAAATTTATTTTATGGCGAGCGTTTCTAAAAAAAACAGTTATTTTATGGAAATATAAAAAAATAGATATAAGAAAATATAAGTCAAATGCAATTTATTACCATATTTTTATTATCATGATTGTTTTGGTTGAAATTCTGTACGTTTCGGCACTGAATATGTATTACCATTCGGGATTTCTTTAAATTACATATTAATGATATCAAAATAATGAAAACACTAAGAAATAATTATTCGGAAAATATGTTGTGCAAAAAAATTGATATCTGTACCAAAGCATGTAATTTAACTAGTTGTGTATGGCATCGTGCTTTAAGGCAAATTGCTAGAACTTCCCGTACCGTAACGAAATGTTCGAGAAATATTAAATGTTTTGATAAACGGTATATAAATATAATACTAATACTAATACGGTATATAATATATAATACAATGTCAATCCTATAGTATATATTATGATAATCGCAGTGAACATTTTCATAGTAAACAGTCGCTAAAATTATTGTGCTGGAAATCTTTCCTTGTCACATGCCAATCACTATAAAATCATAAAAATGATTTTTATGGTGATAAGTGATTGTATCATTTATTAACTTCAACGCATTCATGTTTAATTTAAACTTGATAACAATTCATATAGAAGTTTGTTTTTATATTACAAAATAACAAATCATGTAAAACATTTGCAGGACTTTTATTTATAATACAATGTTTTATGATATAAAACTTAAAATAATCCATATTTCTAAATGTTTACATTATATCACTAGAATGTCATAATACACAAATTGGATATCAAGGCAAATACTTTTGCAAAATGAGAATTGTGATAATATATACCAAAGTGCATCCACACTAGAGGTCAAATGTAAGCTAATAACATGTAGATATGATATTTAACATTATAATGTTTAATTAAACAAATTATTTTTAGAAACAATATCCATTTATGGATGGTTACACAAGGTGTTATATAATTTTACGATCTCTATCATCTTTCAGCTCTATCATCTTACAAGTTAGTTCAAGAATAATATATATTTGAAAAAGTAAGTTTTTATTACAAATATTTGATATCATAGTAATTATTACAGGAACAAATTGGCACAGCATACAATAAAGAATTATTCAGTCTCATTTCGAAAGTTTATCAGACTGTTCCAAAGCAAGGCAATTGATGCCTTATGCATGAAATGGTTATTCGGAATATATGCATGTTAAAATAGAATTGTAGCTGATGCCATATGCATATCATATTTGTATGTACATACACATACATATATGGCAATTAATGTTATTGTTTATTAACGATGAGTGGAGACCGACACTTGTTCAAAAATTGTTCGATATTATATGTATAATATTTCACTGTTGTCCATTATCTCAAATATGGCAGTGTGTGGTTAAATTACCTGCCATACCATACATGTATCACATATGCATACATTTTTAATAATTTTTGCATTTGAAGTTATGTAATATCTTACAGCATATAGATTCTTTTTGTAGTTATTCTACTTGAAAAATGAAATAAAAATTTCTCTTAATTCACAAAAAGGCAGCATGTAAAATAAAAATATGCTTTAAAATAATAGATAATTTTAATCACATGTCATCCACATAGGTTCATCTAGAAATCAATATTTAGTTTTGACTACTACCACCATCATTTTGAAGAAATTGAAAAAAAGAAATAAACGGCACTTCTCTAGCTGTACCTGTATATAATTGCTGAAAAGTACCTTAACATCGAACTAAAAAAATTCCAAAGCATGATGTCAAACATATTTCCTTCTCCATTATTTGCTGTGTGCATATGTTAAATGAACGGATTATATACTAAGAGTGGCACTTGCTACTATCTTATAGCATGTTTTATTATTGATTTCAGTTCATCACTTAATACTTAATATCAGTGCCTTTTATAATTAATTATAGTGCAATGATGATAAAATCTAAATATCAATTTGTTTTGCATCATGCCACTTCCAGTCTAAATGCATAAATAAAGGCTTTTATATAAATTATTGTTGCAAAATAATTATAAAAGGATGTTTAGATCAGGGCAGTATATTGAAGTAATCACAATTTAATTTCTTTCAGATCTTGATGGATTGAGCATAATATTAACACATATACACATTGTAATGTTAACAACACATTTTAAATGTGGTTTTACATAGATGCATATAATAAACCAACCAGTATATGCCATTCACAAATTCATATTTTAAGATAAATCACATAGAAATTTAATAACTCAGTAATCATTTTAACTTCATTTACCTAGTTTAAACTAGACAACCACACATTCAATATTCCAGTCGTGATACTTGTTATCACAATATATACAAAATAGTAATTTCTATTAAATCATTTAACTTTAATATTTATGTTTGATAAATCATTTTTGAATTATAATCAATTAATTACTCTAACTCAATTCTTTCCAAATAAAAAAATCTAAATTTAATATTATAAACGATTATTGCGATACATCTGATCGCCTACACTTCATAACCTTGAAATATTTTCTTCCGCGCGCATCTTGTCCGAGGCTTGTCCTTATCCTATGACGTCCAACGACTTTTCTGTAGTTCTATTTGACCCTCCAAAGTTTTTGCGAGGTAAATGACAAGCAATTGACTTAGTGCCACTCCCAGTGCTATGCCAGCTATGGTGTATAAGTTGCGTTCAGCCCATGTTCTAACAATTTCTATACAGCCGGATGTCCAAACTTTCTTATTGGCCTCTGCTACCTACATTTTGAATTTGAAAATATTACAACTTTCATTTTCCCTCAGAAATTTCAGCATTCCTATGTGTTTCCTTTCTATTTTAATATTCCTATGTGTTGCTTTTTTATTTTAATACTCCTAATAGGCTGTGGTTAAATCTATTGTGAATAAATCATATCTGAAAATCATTTCTATATGTTTCCTCTCTATTTAAATATTCCTATGTGTTGCTTTTTTATCTATTGTATTAGTTGTGTTTCTAGAAAAAGGTATCTTCATGGTAACTTCATAAGTGTTGTACAAGCAGTGATGCAGAAAACCAGAATGCATACAGATAATCTGCATAACAAGCATACAGAAATCTACAAAACTTTTAAACGGTCAAAACGACCTGAAAAACATTTTGAATGTTATTTGATTGAAAACAAATTGGTATGTTGAAATTGGCAATTGGCACCATCAGCAGATAAATTTGCATGCAACAAAAGGCATGTTGAGCTGCAAGGCAATTTAAAGTTAATTATTTGAATATAGAAATAGATAGTTTGCTGACCTTGTCCAAACAAGTTGATTTTCCATGTATTCAACTCTCAAAAGCCATTTATTTACATCATCAGAAGAATTAGAATAATAATGAATCAAGATTGGATTAAAGGTTTATTTCTTTAATATGATATATTTGGTATATAGTAGAGTATCCAAATTCTGGAAATTGGCTCTCCAAAAGAAAGAACACTAAAATGGCTGAAGGAGCTTTATCTTGAGAGTTTTGCAGTCCTTCATTAAAAAATATGAAGTTCTAACTGCCATAAACAATAATATCAAATAACAAGTGAATGCTGTGTTTGCAAAAAAATTAAATCACAGTTTGATTGAGAAGAGATATCCATGACCGCAATACACAAAACAAAAACACTGTCGTATTAACAAATTAAGTTGAAATCTTCATACTATTTGGCAAATTAAAATAAGGGTGGAAATTCATAAACCAAAATACTTTAAATGCACCTGTTATAAATACTTGCTAGTTAATAAATATTATTCTTCAAATTAATTTTTTCATCAGCTTATACACACATAAAATTTAGTTTTGATAAAAAACAGGGAGTTCCTATCTTATCTACATATTTCCTTCATAGACAGAATACTAAGAACTCGTAACTTTAACATACATTTTGGAGTTTTGTATTTTGACAGTAAAACTATAAAAATGTTATTGTAGTTAAAAGCAAGTTATAGTGTAGAGTTAATAATTTCTTGAAATTGATTCAGATTAATAAATTGTGTTCTCTTCTCTACCATTTTACATATCCTCCAATTTACCTATCCACCAGTTTACCTTTAAAAATTCTCTAATTCACCTTATTTATTTATGCATTATAAAAAATTAAAGCTCAAATTGATTCTACGTAGAAAATGTTTGTATGTTAAAAAGAAAACGGCTGTTTTTAGGGTTTTCCCGGCAATTATTCGATTTTCTCGTGTCATAAGAACCATTCTTGGACTTCAATGAAAAAAAAAAATTAAAAAAAGAATTGGCCAAATTGGTCCAGATGTTGTTGAGTTATGCGCTTACCATTTTGCAATTCATTTTTATATTATATATATATATATATTTATTTATATATATATATATATATATATATAAAAAGACTATAGCTATGGATTACTTACAGATGACGTTTGAACTCCATAACCGCACATAATGTTCATTAAACCTCCAGAAATATCAGTATTATTAATACAGCATGAAAACGGAACACCACAACGTTCTACAGATGGTGAGCTGCAGTTAAAATATTCATTTTTACTCCAGTCCATATAGCCTTCAGAACTTAAACCACAGCATTGAAACTATTGGGATTAATAGTATATTATATCCAAATTATAACAATGTATAGATAAATATCAAAATATAGCAAATACCTCTTGCTGAGCAAAGTCTATTAAATTTTGAAGATCTGGATCATCACGGTATGTATGTATTATCTTATCAGTAAACGAATCTTCAAGCAGACTATGCATAGCGTGTGGAAATACAAAACCCATTATTGCCACTGCCATCTCCAATAAGAAAAATATGAGAAGACAAAGAGAGTACTGAAATAATATAAAGTATGAGTTAGCAAAAATTATCAAATTTTTAATAAGTTTTCCTTAGGTTTAATACAACAGAATACATTTCAAATATATTTTAGTCAACTGTCAGGAATTATTAATAGAGCAATATTGAATACACCTCCAAGGCCTATTATCTCGGAACAAAATCCTCATTCAGAAGGGTTACTTATGGGTCTTATGATAGTCGCAAATTCAGCGCTAGTGAGTCGATGAAAAAATATTGTCAAACGTTTTATGTTTGTTGCTAAGAAACGTCAGTAATATTTTTGTGTCAGTTGACAAAATATGTTTCTTCTATTCGTTTGTGTTTGTACACTTGTTAATAAAGATTTCATTATGAATTAATTGCTTTCAAATACATGTCAAACTCAGATACAAGTATAAGCTTCTACAAGAAAGACAAAATATCTGAAATACTTCCAGCTGCTCAAAATAGAATTACCATTATACATGGATTTGAATATACATGGAAGAAAATGAAATGCTTAAGAATGTCAAACTTTGCACGAGATGATTATTAGTTAATAAGAGATAAGAATAACAGACGATTTAATGAACTAACACTATAATGCATTATCACAAAATTTAACTAAATATTTATATTAATAAGTTAAAAAGTGTAGAAATTATTCCAGTAGATTAGGTTTAATGTATATTTAGATTGGCAGTGTGTTTGTTGATTATATATTTCAATTTGATTGTATATTTATTATAATATAATATTATCTAGTATATTTTTGTTATTATTATATTATTACAAAACATAATACGAGTCTATAAGTTTCAAATACCCAATTAATGAAATTCAATAATTTTCATTTCAAATTTTGCGCCCTCATGTCTGAGTGGAAGACCCTTTAAGTATTCCTTTTGAATGTAAAAATCGGGAGAGAGAAACGTCTATATGAATACATCAGTTTCTAATATTGTCTAGGTACACCTCTATCAATAATTCAATATTTTATCAATAATAGTGCCACTGATTTGTGGCAAGAATGCTAAATATTCTTTGAAAAATGCTCCAATTTAAAAAACATATATAATGATACTTACAAATTTCAAGAGACAAGTATTTTCTCTTAAAGCTCCAACACAGCCAGCAAAGCTCACTATGAAAACTACACCACCAGCAATCACCATCACCAATGATATATTGAGCACAACATCATAAACGGTCTCAACTTTAACCCATCCGGTAGCTTGCCATTTATCCACAAAGGCATATAAGCCAACTCCTATTAGAAGGCCACCAAACAGCTAAAAGTTGAAATCAATACATTTCAGAGAATTCATTTCACCAATAAGAATTTACCAAATTTCACTAATAATTACCCAAAATATGAAATTTAACTGAAATATCATGTATTTCACACACGAACTAACGTATGTAAAATTATTTGTTCTTCTCCTGTTCATTGTGGATGGATTTAAGTGATTTTTTTTATAAATTATTGAGCTGGAACAATTTGCAGAATATGCCACACCTTATACGATGCACGATATCTTCGATTAAAACATGTCTTATAGACAATTAAAATTCTTTGATCCAGTTATTAGAATAAGAAGGGAAAGATGAAATTCAAATCATGGGAATATACTACAATTAAAATTTTCACTGATTGTTAGAAATGTCATATTGTGCACAAGAATATGTGTCAAAACAATGACCCCATTTCTGTCAGATGCATCACAGTTCACTTTAACCAAAACACAAAGATAAGGAACTATATTTTTAATACATCTTTCAAAATTTAGATGGCAACCTTCAGGAATTTTTTACCCATCGCATCTATGTCAAAGAGATACTAATGACATTTTGCGAAGATGTTATTTATAAATTTGGTTAAAAATATAAAAGCCTAGAAACGGAAAATAGAATAGTATCTAATCGGCATAAATCTCGCTTGAGGCTTAACGTTTCGTTTGATTTGAATAACACGATTATTGTAATCATTTAACATTTTGTTGTTTATTGCATTTTTACCCTTGATCAAACGTACGTGCAGATTCTTATATTCATTATGGTGACCGGGGTGAACTAAGCGCGTGCGAAAATTTATTGAAATTATTCAGTGCATTACTAAGTAAGACAATTGATTTCAAAGACCAAATATACAGATAATAATAAATATCAGGTACAAATAATAATAAATATCATTAATATAGTTGCGTGAATATTTGAATGATGTATTAGAATATAATTTTTCTATCATCCAAATATTACAAATATCTTATTAGTTTTTAGAAAAATGGTGGCATTTATTCAGTCTGTGGAAGAATTTGAAAAATGTTTGAGTGAGCAAGTTTCTGTGGTGTTATTTAGCGATGACTTTGCTGAGCAATGCAAAGTTATTAAAGAAGGATTAGTCGAATTATCCAAAAGAAAAGAACTGTCGAATGTGAAGTTCTTTGAACTACATGCAGAATCATTAGCAAAAATATCTTTGCAATATAAAGTAGATGCTGTACCTACCACATTAATCTTCAAAAATAAACAACAAATTGACCGAGTCGATGGTGCAAATATTGCTGAGGTTAGCACAAAGGTACTTAAGCATGGAAGTTCATTGGGGACAGGAGGAGGTGGTGAAGATATTGAGAAAAGGCTTAAATCATTAATAAACCAACATAAAGTAATGGTGTTTATGAAAGGCGATAGGACCACACCAAGGTGTGGTTTTAGCAAAACTCTAATTGGAATAATGAATGATTCAGGAGTGGAATATGGAACTTTTGATATATTAACTGATGAGGTTGTTAGACAGGAACTGAAGACTTTCTCAGACTGGCCTACATATCCTCAACTTTATGTCAATGGGGAACTTATTGGGGGCTTAGATATTGTGAAAGAGCTGGTTCAGAACAATGAATTCAAAGATGTTTTGAAAGGATAAAGCAGAATTTATAGTTATCGTTTTCTCTAGATGTACATTATACCATTTTTTTAAATAAAATAAATTCAAAAGAATGCTTGATTTTGTGTTATTGCATTTATTTACAGATGTATTTTAACTGTTATTTATAATTAAAACTAGACATATTTCATAAACCACTTCCGATCAAAAGGTGATATCCACCTATGGCAGCCTGCCAAATTGTTTTTAATTATGTATTCTAATGTATAAGGGTTAATGTTTTCTTCTTCTATACGTTTTCTTTCTGCTTCTCGAGCTTCAAGTATCTCTTGAGAAACAACCATGGCTTTGAATGGTAATTTCTGACAAATTTCTGTTAAGAAACGCTTGACCTATAAGCAAATAAATATTTCTATAGTTTTTTTCATTTTATTACGGATTTATATGAAAAAATCAGAGCAACCAGAATTAAAATAATGATCAATTACTCTACAAAGATGCAAGAAAGAAAAAACAATGGAGATTATAATTCTTAAATAAAAGAGTAATATAATAATGTAATTTTTGACAAATTCTAAATTAATTATACTTCCTACCTCTTCAAATTCACAATGTCCAGCCACTTCAAGAATAATTCTTCCGTGTTTAATTGGTGTCACATAGTGATCTATTGCACCTTTTCCACCACCCATTCTTTGACCTTGTCCTTTTTTAGTTACAGGTTGCCAAGGAGGGTCTACTCTCCAAATAGCAAACATTCTGTCAACATCAATTCTTCTTCCTATGCCTAACCTCATCATTTCCATATGTCCCGCCCGTAAGCGACCTCCGCTCAATGCCTAATTTAATTCCAGTTTCAGAGGGTAAATAAAACATTGGTATTATTTTTTTCTCAAATTAATATTGCTTACCATAATTCCATATTGTTTATGTATAAGAGTATTATGAATTAATTCAGGTCCACGCATCAAACGTAATCGTTTTTGCATTTTCGGTGGTCGTAGACCTGGAGCATATTGAGGAACCTTTTCCAAGAACTTTAGTTTTGGCTTCTCAGGTAGTTGAATATCTGTAACATAATTAATTTAGTAATTTCGATTACAAATTTTTTGGTCACATGAAAAGCTTAACTCACGATCATATTTCACTGGGGGAGCAAAGTATTTTAATCCTGCTATTGAATTAAAATTGGGCAAATAACCTAAAAACAATAAATAAGAATTATTTTTTCATTCAATGTAGAAAAGAGTTAGATCATGCAATATTTACCAATTTTAGATAAGGTTGACTTAAGCATTTTTCTAACTTTATAATATTAATAAATTAAGTAATTAAATACACATATTCTTAAAAAAGTTTGTAAGATTTTGTTAAAAACATATAATGTACAATGATCTGTCATATAATGACATAACCTTAACCTGTCGATCAAGTTAAAAGAAAAAGAAGCGTATTCATAGACCTTATATTACATGGCTTGCTAGTCGAGCGCATACAAAACTAGTGGGGCGCATGGCATCGTGCCTTAAGGCAAATTGCTGGAACTTCCCGTACCAAAAATTATTTTTTTTTTGAAAAGATTAACATTTTTTAAAAAAATTTACTCTAAAAAAAATAGATTTTTGAGGAACTATATAAATTTTTGACAAAAACTTACTTTTTGTTGAAAAATTTATTTTGAAATATTTTGGAAATTCTGAACTTTTTTTCAAAGCAATCGTACTGCTTTAATGCATAGAGACTAAATATCGAAGCGCGTAAGCGCCGCGTCGCTGTCTAACGCATAAGCATTGGTACGGAACCCATAGGAATGTTAACAAAATGTATACTCATTGTTAAAATCTCTATAAAATATCTGATAATTTGATGTGCATATGTCTAATGTCTAATGATTATTGTTGACCGCCAAATGTTATTTTTTTTTACTTTTTTTACTAGATCTCTGAAACCGCTAGACCTAATTTCATAAAAATTTCATCAAATCTTCATCTTGATAATGCAAGTAAAATGTTTTTGAATTATTCAAATTGCTTCATCCCGATTCCCGAAATCGTCGACGAAAATTTGTATCTGAACACACACAAATGCACGCACACACACACATACACACACATACATCAATTTTCTCTAAGGTATGCCAATATATTCAGAAACCTTTGAAACGTAAAGTTATATAAAAATTTTCATTTTCGATTTTTGTGCGATTACTATAACTTACCCTACGGAAAGTTAATTATAAATAAATCAATTTATCACCTCCAGAACATTAACAATCGTCATTTCATTTCGAATCAAATTTCAAAAAAAAAAAATAGTTGCCAAATTTCCACAAAATTGAAAAAGTGCTCCAGCATAGTCACAGTCTAAACGCATTTGCAAATAATTCTGTGCGATATTTTCACTTATACTGTGCTCAGCTTGGCGGCATTTTCACATTTTTCAATAATTTTCACAAAATTGGAAAAGTGCTCCAGTACACAAACAGTCTAAACGCACTTGGGTAAACATTTGTACCAGAGTGGCGCTTAGACTGTGCTTAGCTTGGGTGATTTTTTGAATTTTTAGTCCAAAATTACAAAAAAATTTTTTTGAAAAAAAATTAGAATCAAAAAATTTTTTTTTCCAAAATCAATTGTTTTGTTGAAAAAAGCAGAAAGTTCTTTGAATCATTTAAATCGGACGCTTAGTTCTCTCAAAAACAGCCATTTTTTTTAAATTTAGCTCTGTAACTCCGAAACCTCTGGGCCTACCTTTGCCAAAAACTAATCAGCACATCTCCCTATCAATAGGAATCGAATGTTTTTTAAACCATTCAAATCGGTTGATCCGTTCTCTCAAAAATTCGCTTTCTATTTTTTGCACTCTTTGCTCCATATCTCCGTAACGGCTGGACCTGCCTTTGCCAAAAACTAATCAGCACATCTCCCTATCAATAGGAATCGAATGTTTTTTAAACCATTCAAATCGGTTGATCCGTGCGCCCGAAAACGTGGACGAAAAAAAGCGGACATACAAAACACACACACACACACACACACACACACACACACACACATCCATTTTTTCTGAAGTATGCCAAAATGTTCAAAAACCTTCAAAACGTCGAGAAATGTAAAAATTTTTGATTTCGATTTTTGGACGATTACTATAACTTACCCTACGGGAAGTTAATAACCAATAATGTGTGTGTGTTTTGTGTGTCCCCATTTTTTCGTCCACGTTTTCGGGCGCACGGATCAACCGATTTGAATGATTCAAAAAACAATCGATTCCTATTGATAGGGAGGTGTGCTGATTAGTTTTTGGCATAGGCAGGTCTAGCCGTTTCAAAGATACGGGGCAAAAAGTGCCGAAAACCGTAAGACAGTTTTTAAGAGAACGGAGCGTCCGCTTACATTTGAAATTTCTTAAAAATTTAATTTTTTCAAAGTTTTAAACATATTTAATCTTTTTTTTTTAATTTAATTTTTGGTACGGGTAGTTCCAGCAATTTGCCTGAAGGCACTTTCTCGGGGCACATTTACCCTCGCGACAGAATACATCTTTTGACATTGTTTTACTTGAGAAATATATGGGGACTAGCAGTCCATGTCATATAAAGTCTATGAGCGAATTGCATCCCGTGGAATCTGATCTGACATTCATTTCACCACGTTGATCTGTTTGGTTATGTTTTTACTTGAATAAGAAACAATGTAGTTAATAAATTGTTCATTAAATATTATTATAATTTATTTAATTATTCGTTCAGAATAAAAATGGATGCCTATAAACATAAAATTTTAAGTGCCTTCAAAATTTTAGATATTTATGGATGGATGGTTAATTCGTATGTTTTGGTTCGTTACAGTTAACTTTATACTGTACTTATATCTTTGGGCAAAATGTAATCTAAAGTGATATTTTTGATTGTTTTGTGTATTTTTATTTCTACTAAAAAATATTAAATATGCAATTATTTACATACAGGGGCGTAACTACCGCCGTATCAGCCTTATCAACTATATGGGGCCCCCGGATCAGGGAGGCAGCCAACGAGCGAAAGCAAGAATGGATAAAAACTTTAAAGCCATGTAACGAATTTCAGAAAATTTGTTTTAAATAATTCCGGCATAGTTAGCATTTCTTTTTGTTATTGAAAGGTATTGAATTTTATTTTAAAACAAAAGATTGCTGTTTGCAACTTTTAAGTCTAACGCTTTAGAGAATTTATATTTTGCTGCGCAATATTTAAAGCTGATTTTTATATTTATGAACTTTGTATCTACTTATCGAAAACAAAAGAATACATGTTTCAAACTTAGTTGATAATAAAGCCTATAAGAAAGGCTATTATTAATTACTGTGGCTGCTTTTACAGCCATAAGGCATTTCAATAAGTTAATATTATTGTGAACTGTAATATGAGCAAATCTATAAAACTAATCCGGTTTAATATTTTCCATCAAAAATTTATAAAATTTTTGTATGATTGGTAAATTTTATAGTTACATTTAGATAAATATGATAAATTAAGTCATTTTCATCTGACTCGCCAAAACAATCATGCATAGTTTGCAAATCTATTGTTGGTCCCAATTATTATTTGTATTTTATTACTGTTTTTATTTTTATAAGTAACTAAACAAATATTACCAAACCTTTTGATATTATACGGCTAGCATATTCAAAAATGTCAACAGGACAAACTTTTTTTTGTTTTAAATCAAGAGCTAATAAATGCTTCTGGAAAACTGTACACTAAATACTGTAAAGATATCCCAGGTAATCTTCATCACCAACGTGTTTAAAATTATAAATTAAAAAAAAAATCAATTCAGTAACTCCTTTTTCCTAACGTAAAAACAGTATGAATTTTATTCTTTAGCCTTCCAGTTACAATCGCAACAGCTAAAATAAATTTTTCGAAATTAAAACTAAAACTAAACTAAAATTACCTGAGAACCTCAAGAGAAAAACGTCTATCAGATCTGTCACTATCGGTCCTGAAGGCAAAAACTTAAAAAAATCTGAAGATATTATATTTAATAAATCAGTTTTTTGAAAAAAACATAATGAGAG